ACCAGTGAGCAAGTTCAGTGATAAGCTAAATGTAAACTCCAGGCCTTACTCCGAATTGTGTGACGATAACGTTGTTGTGAAGAAGTCTGTAGTTGCAACTGGTAAGCCGTTGCTGAATAGAGTGTCACAGAATAGAGTTACTGCTTCAGAGTGGAGTTCTGACTCCAAAAGTTTACAAAGTATAACTAGTCAGAGTGAAGATGTAAAACCTTTAATAATTTTTGAGGAGGAACCAAAATTGTCTACTTCTGTTATTAAAGAGTTTGAAAATGATGAAGTTGACGGTAAATTGGATATTTGTGATAATGATCATGATAGTGCAGATTTGTCTTTGGTTGATCATGATGAAATGGAGGGAATGCCTACTACTGCTAAGTTAAATAAAGGTTCTGTACAACTTGAACGTGAAGTAGAAATAAATGCAGATTCAGTTGCAGAAGGCATGCATACTTGTAAGACCGTCAGTGGGAGTGATCAGCATGTAGCCCACCTATCATCAGATGCTAGTGCTAAACCTGAGCTGATAGTAAAAGACAGCAGTGGTGGTGGTCTTGCAGGTAGACAAATTTCTGAAAAGCGAGCAACAACAGCTTTTGATCCACTGCTAAGTTCATCAACTGATATCAATCAGTCGTCGTTGGTGCTGTCATCCACAATGAAACAGACACCCATGAACTCAAGTATCTTGTGCAATGACTATGGTAGTATCAGTTCGTTTGAAAGGACGAATATCAATGGTCAGTTTAGTGTGGATAAGCCAAGTGTAAAGGAGAGAGTTATTGTTAAATTGACTTGCACGAATAAAGGCATTTCTAGTTTCAAGTTACTATTTGAATGTTATTATCTTTGGTGTAAATTACTCTGTTTCTATACTTGGTTGATGAGATATGTCGTGTGTTTGTTGGTCATCTATATTCTACGATACAATGACATGGGCGTGTTGCCGTTCAGATTTGAGGATATAGCTGATAGAAGGAAGTTAGCAAATGAACTCTGCGACGATTTTCCAACCTAGAGCGTCAACCTGAGAAGGGTTGTAGGCGTACTGCTGTAAGTCCTACAATTCTTCAAAGGGTAGCGCATCAATGAGCAGTCCAATGTGCTTGGTGTGTGATTTTGTACATATGTTCATATTGTATATACTGAATTGATATCATCTTTTATCTATCTGTTGGTAATTCTGTTTGTGTCCGGACGACTTCCACTTGGATCATCAACCTGAGAAGGAATGTAGGCGTACTGCTGTAAGTCCTACAGTTCTTCAAGGGTAGTTTGTCGTGTCAGAATCCACAACATTTGATGTGGTGATTGTACATATGTTTGTGTTAAATAGTTGTGTGAGTTCCAATTATTGTAATTGTTGGTTAATCTTGTTTGTGTCCGGACATTCCACAACTTACAATCGTCAACCTGTGAAGGGTTGCGGGCGTACTGGTGTAAGTCCTGCAATTCTTCAAAGGAATTCCATCAAGACATGATCGGCGAGGTTGTTTGTACTGTTTGTATATATGTGTGGTGTGTTCTATCAATTGGTGTTTTTTGGATTCATTGTGTTTACTTGTTGTTTTCGTATCTTGTTGTTATTGCGTAATTTTGTTAAAATTTTCGTCGTGATTACTTCTGAAGTTGTTTCGAGTCTTCTACGTCCATGAATGAATTGATTGATGTTGGAGACAGCAGATGGGTCGTATACGCCGGGGAGGCTAGGCTATTGCTGAGAATGAAATGCACACGGAGATAATTGTTAGCTGCGATCTGACACGCCGGGGAGAAAGAGTGTACACGACTGAGGCTCGCATGCGTCACCGCTACTAGAACTGAGGCAGAATGAGTGACAAGCGATTTCAGTGGTAATTGGTAGTGGGTAATTAAGAGGATGTGCGTAGAGTATCGTGAGGTCCTGCCATGGTCACTTTGCATTCTGCAAGAGTCATTCTAGCAAATGGCGATTGTGTTGCAAGATGTCAAGAGGAGGTCTCTGTCTGGAGGCGCAGGTCGTCATTGATGTGTGAGATTGTGCTGTGGGTATGCTTGTGGTGTGTTGGCTTTTCTGTTTGTTTTCCATTTCAGCTCTGTCCGTGTGACCCAGGTTCTCGCAATGGCATCCAAGTCAACGTGCATTGGTCGTGAAGGAAAAAAGGGTTGGATCCCTTTTTTGCCGGGGAGTGTCAATGGAGTTGAAGATTGAACGATCAATTCTTGGTTGTTTGCTCAAAATCAACTTCCCCAATTTTCGCGGAAGCATCAATACGACAGTCATCGTCTCATCGGTCGCTGTTCAGAAAGAAGAAAGAAACATCGTCAGAAGTAACAATGATTTATTATTGTAATATTTGTTTTCAGACCTTAGTTTGCTTAGTTCGCTTATTCCTTTTATATGTTGGTGTAACAATAAACAAATATCAAACGGCAGATCGGTGTTTTGGTTTTTGCGTCCGTTATAACTAAGCGTTTCTGAGAAATCTTCTAAGAACAGCGTGGGCCCGAGCGTAGCGAGAGCTGGGCATTAACGGTTTATGAGACTTGGCTGACAGTTTCTGACGATGGAAACAGATCTGGCGGATTGAAACAGTTGGTGAAAGTTTGGATAGTCGCCGTTCATTTTTCCTGGTGCCGGTCAAGTCCTCTTTGAACAAGCAATATCTGGAACGTTTTTGGAATTTGGTCAAGTTCAACAATGCCTGGGTCAAAGAAGGGACAGAGTGTCTTGGATGCAAACAGGAAAGTAAGTCATGGTGACTTGTCTGTTAATTGTAACGATGTGTCTGATGTTAAACATGATATGGTTGATGTTACTGTTTCGCCGTTCAGGGATAATAGGAACATCAAACTCCCTAAATTAGAACCACGATGTTTTGATGGAAACCCGGCTGATTATTTACAATTTGTAAAGGAGTTTGAGATCATGTTGAGTGGTTTTTTATTAAATGATGAATTGAAATTGATGTATTTGATGAGATATTGCACTGGAGATGCTGCAAGAGCTATACAGTGTTGTAAGTTTATGAAGCCAAAGGAGGGCTACGATGAGGCTATGAGCATATTACGCCAAAGGTTTGGAAGACCCTCGATGATTGCAGGGAAATTATTCGAGGCTGTTGAGGGTAATGGTGGTCAGTTACAGGATGACTCCCAGGCACTCACTGAGTTTTTAGATAATTTGCTAATTTACAAGAATGGAATGATTTCGATGAATCGAATGAGTGACCTCAACTCGAGTTTTATCCTAGAAGTAATAGCAAGACGTCTACCTACTCGACTGCAAAGGAAGTGGGTGAAGATAAGCTCCCGTATGGAGGATGAGGGTATCGAGCCAAAGTTTGATGATATCCTGAAACTGGTAAATACTAGTGTCAATCAATCTATGAGCAAGTTTTCCAGTCTGTTAGATCTCACCCCTAGAATAGAGCAGTCTGAGGGTAAAACGCACTCATTGATGACGAGTAGGCCTCAGAGAGGTGGATATCGAGAAGACTCCATGATGTCTAGTAATGCATATAGACCTAGTGAGTGTAACAGGTTTCGTAGTACATCCTCAACAGATAAGTTACAAGATGCAAGACAAACACGGCTTTGTTCTACACGTGTGCAAGAGGTGCATACAGAAGTGAACTGTGAACCAGTGAGCAAGTTCAGTGATAAGCTAAATGTAAACTCCAGGCCTTACTCCGAATTGTGTGACGATAACGTTGTTGTGAAGAAGTCTGTAGTTGCAACTGGTAAGCCGTTGCTAAATAGAGTGTCACAGAATAGAGTTACTGCTTCAGAGTGGAGTTCTGACTCCAAAAGTTTACAAAGTATAACTAGTCAGAGTGAAGATGTAAAACCTTTAATAATTTTTGAGGAGGAACCAAAATTGTCTACTTCTGTTATTAAAGAGTTTGAAAATGATGAAGTTGACGGTAAATTGGATATTTGTGATAATGATCATGATAGTGCAGATTTGTCTTTGGTTGATCATGATGAAATGGAGGGAATGCCTACTACTGCTAAGTTAAATAAAGGTTCTGTACAACTTGAACGTGAAGTAGAAATAAATGCAGATTCAGTTGCAGAAGGCATGCATACTTGTAAGACCGTCAGTGGGAGTGATCAGCATGTAGCCCACCTATCATCAGATGCTAGTGCTAAACCTGAGCTGATAGTAAAAGACAGCAGTGGTGGTGGTCTTGCAGGTAGACAAATTTCTGAAAAGCGAGCAACAACAGCTTTTGATCCACTGCTAAGTTCATCAACTGATATCAATCAGTCGTCGTTGGTGCTGTCATCCACAATGAAACAGACACCCATGAACTCAAGTATCTTGTGCAATGACTATGGTAGTATCAGTTCGTTTGAAAGGACGAATATCAATGGTCAGTTTAGTGTGGATAAGCCAAGTGTAAAGGAGAGAGTTATTGTTAAATTGACTTGCACGAATAAAGGCATTTCTAGTTTCAAGTTACTATTTGAATGTTATTATCTTTGGTGTAAATTACTCTGTTTCTATACTTGGTTGATGAGATATGTCGTGTGTTTGTTGGTCATCTATATTCTACGATACAATGACATGGGCGTGTTGCCGTTCAGATTTGAGGATATAGCTGATAGAAGGAAGTTAGCAAATGAACTCTGCGACGATTTTCCAACTTAGAGCGTCAACCTGAGAAGGGTTGTAGGCGTACTGCTGTAAGTCCTACAATTCTTCAAAGGGGAGCGCATCAATGAGCAGTCCAATGTGCTTGGTGTGTGATTTTGTACATATGTTCATATTGTATATACTGAATTGATATCATCTTTTATCTATCTGTTGGTAATTCTGTTTGTGTCCGGACGACTTCCACTTGTATCATCAACCTGAGAAGGAATGTAGGCGTACTGCTGTAAGTCCTACAGTTCTTCAAGGGTAGTTTGTCGTGTCAGAATCCACAACATTTGATGTAGTCATTGTACATATGTTTGTGTTAAATAGTTGTGTGAGTTCCAATTATTGTAATTGTTGGTTAATCTTGTTTGTGTCCGGACATTCCACAACTTACAATCGTCAACCTGTGAAGGGTTGCGGGCGTACTGGTGTAAGTCCTGCAATTCTTCAAAGGAATTCCATCAAGACATGATCGGCGAGGTTGTTTGTACTGTTTGTATATATGTGTGGTGTGTTCTATCAATTGGTGTTTTTTGGATTCATTGTGTTTACTTGTTGTTTTCGTATCTTGTTGTTATTGCGTAATTTTGTTAAAATTTTCGTCGTGATTACTTCTGAAGTTGTTTCCAGTCTTCTACGTCCATGAATGAATTGATTGATGTTGGAGACAGCAGATGGGTCGTATACGCCGGGGAGGCTAGGCTATTGCTGAGAATGAAATGCGCACGGAGATAATTGTTAGCTGCGATCTGACACGCCGGGGAGAAAGAGTGTACACGACTGAGGCTCGCATGCGTCACTGCTACTAGAACTGAGGCAGAATGAGTGACAAGCGATTGCAGTGGTAATTGGTAGTGGGTAATTAAGAGGATGTGCGTAGAGTATCGTGAGGTCCTGCCATGGTCACTTTGCATTCTGCAAGAGTCATTCTAGCAAATGGCGATTGTGTTGCAAGATGTCAAGACGAGGTCTCTGTCTGGACGCGCAGGTCGTCATTGATGTGTGAGATTGTGCTGTGGGTATGCTTGTGGTGTGTTGGCTTTTCTGTTTGTTTTCCATTTCAGCTCTGTCCGTGTGACCCAGGTTCTCGCAATGGCATCCAAGTCAACGTGCATTGGTCGTGAAGGAAAAAAGGGTTGGATCCCTTTTTTGCCGGGGAGTGTCAATGGAGTTGAAGATTGAACGATCAATTCTTGGTTGTTTGCTTAAAATCAACTTCCCCAATTTTCGCGGAAGCATCAATACGACAGTCATCGTCTCATCGGTCGCTGTTCAGAAAGAAGAAAGAAACATCGTCAGAAGTAACAATGATTTATTATTGTAATATTAGTTTTCAGACCTTAGTTTGCTTAGTTCGCTTATTCCTTTTATATGTTGGTGTAACAATAAACAAATATCAAACGGCAGATCGGTGTTTTGGTTTTTGCGTCCGTTATAACTAAGCGTTTCTGAGAAATCTTCTAAGAACAGCGTGGGCCCGAGCGTAGCGAGAGCTGGGCATTAACGGTTTATGAGACTTGACTGACAGTTTCTGACGATGGAAACAGATCTGGCGGATTGAAACAGTTGGTGAAAGTTTGGATAGTCGCCGTTCATTTTTCCTGGTGCCGGTCAAGTCCTCTTTGAACAAGCAATATCTGGAACGTTTTTGGAATTTGGTCAAGTTCAACAATGCCTGGGTCAAAGAAGGGACAGAGTGTCTTGGATGCAAACAGGAAAGTAAGTCATGGTGACTTGTCTGTTAATTGTAACGATGTGTCTGATGTTAAACATGATATGGTTGATGTTACTGTTTCGCCGTTCAGGGATAATAGGAACATCAAACTCCCTAAATTAGAACCACGATGTTTTGATGGAAACCCGGCTGATTATTTACAATTTGTAAAGGAGTTTGAGATCATGTTGAGTGGTTTTTTATTAAATGATGAATTGAAATTGATGTATTTGATGAGATATTGCACTGGAGATGCTTCAAGAGCTATACAGTGTTGTAAGTTTATGAAGCCAAAGGAGGGCTACGATGAGGCTATGAGCATATTACGCCAAAGGTTTGGAAGACCCTCGATGATTGCAGGGAAATTATTCGAGGCTGCTGAGGGTAATGGTGGTCAGTTACAGGATGACTCCCAGGCACTCACTGAGTTTTTAGATAATTTGCTAATTTACAAGAATGGAATGATTTCGATGAATCGAATGAGTGACCTCAACTCGAGTTTTATCCTAGAAGTAATAGCAAGACGTCTACCTACTCGACTGCAAAGGAAGTGGGTGAAGATAAGCTCCCGTATGGAGGATGAGGGTATCGAGCCAAAGTTTGATGATATCCTGAAACTGGTAAATACTAGTGTTAATCAATCTATGAGCAAGTTTTCCAGTCTGTTAGATCTCACCCCTAGAATAGAGCAGTCTGAGGGTAAAACGCACTCATTGATGACGAGTAGGCCTCAGAGAGGTGGATATCGAGAAGACTCCATGATGTCTAGTAATGCATATAGACCTAGTGAGTGTAACAGGTTTCGTAGTACATCCTCAACAGATAAGTTACAAGATGCAAGACAAACACGGCTTTGTTCTACACGTGTGCAAGAGGTGCATACAGAAGTGAACTGTGAACCAGTGAGCAAGTTCAGTGATAAGCTAAATGTAAACTCCAGGCCTTACTCCGAATTGTGTGACGATAACGTTGTTGTGAAGAAGTCTGTAGTTGCAACTGGTAAGCCGTTGCTAAATAGAGTGTCACAGAATAGAGTTACTGCTTCAGAGTGGAGTTCTGACTCCAAAAGTTTACAAAGTATAACTAGTCAGAGTGAAGATGTAAAACCTTTAATAATTTTTGAGGAGGAACCAAAATTGTCTACTTCTGTTATTAAAGAGTTTGAAAATGATGAAGTTGACGGTAAATTGGATATTTGTGATAATGATCATGATAGTGCAGATTTGTCTTTGGTTGATCATGATGAAATGGAGGGAATGCCTACTACTGCTAAGTTAAATAAAGGTTCTGTACAACTTGAACGTGAAGTAGAAATAAATGCAGATTCAGTTGCAGAAGGCATGCATACTTGTAAGACCGTCAGTGGGAGTGATCAGCATGTAGCCCACCTATCATCAGATGCTAGTGCTAAACCTGAGCTGATAGTAAAAGACAGCAGTGGTGGTGGTCTTGCAGGTAGACAAATTTCTGAAAAGCGAGCAACAACAGCTTTTGATCCACTGCTAAGTTCATCAACTGATATCAATCAGTCGTCGTTGGTGCTGTCATCCACAATGAAACAGACACCCATGAACTCAAGTATCTTGTGCAATGACTATGGTAGTATCAGTTCGTTTGAAAGGACGAATATCAATGGTCAGTTTAGTGTGGATAAGCCAAGTGTAAAGGAGAGAGTTATTGTTAAATTGACTTGCACGAATAAAGGCATTTCTAGTTTCAAGTTACTATTTGAATGTTATTATCTTTGGTGTAAATTACTCTGTTTCTATACTTGGTTGATGAGATATGTCGTGTGTTTGTTGGTCATCTATATTCTACGATACAATGACATGGGCGTGTTGCCGTTCAGATTTGAGGATATAGCTGATAGAAGGAAGTTAGTAAATGAACTCTGCGACGATTTTCCAACTTAGAGCGTCAACCTGAGAAGGGTTGTAGGCGTACTGCTGTAAGTCCTACAATTCTTCAAAGGGGAGCGCATCAATGAGCAGTCCAATGTGCTTGGTGTGTGATTTTGTACATATGTTCATATTGTATATACTGAATTGATATCATCTTTTATCTATCTGTTGGTAATTCTGTTTGTGTCCGGACGACTTCCACTTGTATCATCAACCTGAGAAGGAATGTAGGCGTACTGCTGTAAGTCCTACAGTTCTTCAAGGGTAGTTTGTCGTGTCAGAATCCACAACATTTGATGTAGTCATTGTACATATGTTTGTGTTAAATAGTTTGTGAGTTCCAATTATTGTAATTGTTGGTTAATCTTGTTTGTGTCCGGACATTCCACAACTTACAATCGTCAACCTGTGAAGGGTTGCGGGCGTACTGGTGTAAGTCCTGCAATTCTTCAAAGGAATTCCATCAAGACATGATCGGCGAGGTTGTTTGTACTGTTTGTATATATGTGTGGTGTGTTCTATCAATTGGTGTTTTTTGGATTCATTGTGTTTACTTGTTGTTTTCGTATCTTGTTGTTATTGCGTAATTTTGTTAAAATTTTCGTCGTGATTACTTCTGAAGTTGTTTCCAGTCTTCTACGTCCATGAATGAATTGATTGATGTTGGAGACAGCAGATGGGTCGTATACGCCGGGGAGGCTAGGCTATTGCTGAGAATGAAATGCGCACGGAGATAATTGTTAGCTGCGATCTGACACGCCGGGGAGAAAGAGTGTACACGACTGAGGCTCGCATGCGTCACTGCTACTAGAACTGAGGCAGAATGAGTGACAAGCGATTGCAGTGGTAATTGGTAGTGGGTAATTAAGAGGATGTGCGTAGAGTATCGTGAGGTCCTGCCATGGTCACTTTGCATTCTGCAAGAGTCATTCTAGCAAATGGCGATTGTGTTGCAAGATGTCAAGACGAGGTCTCTGTCTGGACGCGCAGTTCGTCATTGATGTGTGAGATTGTGCTGTGGGTATGCTTGTGGTGTGTTGGCTTTTCTGTTTGTTTTCCATTTCAGCTCTGTCCGTGTGACCCAGGTTCTCGCAATCGCATCCAAGTCAACGTGCATTGGTCGTGAAGGAAAAAAGGGTTGGATCCCTTTTTTGCCGGGGAGTGTCAATGGAGTTGAAGATTGAACGATCAATTCTTGGTTGTTTGCTTAAAATCAACTTCCCCAATTTTCGCGGAAGCATCAATACGACAGTCATCGTCTCATCGGTCGCTGTTCAGAAAGAAGAAAGAAACATCGTCAGAAGTAACAATGATTTATTGTAATATTAGTTTTCAGACCTTAGTTTGCTTAGTTCGCTTATTCCTTTTATATGTTGGTGTAACAATAAACAAATATCAAACGGCAGATCGGTGTTTTGGTTTTTGCGTCCGTTATAACTAAGCGTTTCTGAGAAATCTTCTAAGAACAGCGTGGGCCCGAGCGTAGCGAGAGCTGGGCATTAACGGTTTATGAGACTTTGCTTACATCTACATTGAGACTCCCCGGCAAAATACGGATCCAACCCTTTTTCCCATCACAACCAATACACGTTGACTTGGATTCCATTGCGAGAACCTGGGTCACACGGACAGAGCTGAAATGGAAAACAAACAGAAAAGCCAACACACCACAAGCATACTCACAGCACAATCTCACACATCAATGACGACCTGCGCCTTCCAGTTAAAAGCATCCTATTGCAACACAATCGCCACTTGCTGGAATGACTCTAGCAGAATGCAGCGTGACCATAGTAGCACCTCACGATACTCTACGCTCATCCTCTTATGTACTCACTACCAATTACCACTGAAATCGCTTGTCACTCATTCTGCCTCAATTCTAGTAACGGCGACGTATGCGATCCTCAGTCGTTTACACTCTTTCTCCCCGGCGTGTCAGATCGCAGCTAACAATTATCTCCGTGCGCATTTCATTCTCAGCAATAGCCTAGCCTCCCCGGCGTATACGACCCATCTGCTGTCTCCAACATCAATCAATTCATTCATGGACGTAGAAGACTGGAAACAACTTCAGAAGTAATCACGACGAAAATTTTAACAAAATTACGCAATAACAACAAGATACGAAAACAACAAGTAAACACAATGAATCCAAAAAACACCAATTGATAGAACACACCACACATATATACAAACAGTACACACAAACTCGCAGTTCATGTATTGATGGAATTCCTTTGAAGAATTGCAGGACTTACACCAGTACGCCCGCAACCCTTCACAGGTTGACGATTGTAAGTTGTGGAATGTCCGGACACAAACAAGATTAACCAACAATTACAATAATTGGAACTCACAACTATTTAACACAAACATATGTACAATGACTACATCAAATGTTGTGGATTCTGACACGACAAACTACCCTTGAAGAATTGTAGGACTTACAGCAGTACGCCTACAACCCTTCTCAGGTTGACGCTCTAAGTTGGAAAATCGTCGCAGAGTTCATTTACTAACTTCCTTCTATCTGCTATATCCTCAAATCTGAACGGCAACACGCAAATGTCATTGTATCGTAGAATATAGATGACCAACAAACACACGACATATCTCATCAACCAAGTATAGAAACAGAGTAATTTACACCAAAGATAATAACATTCAAATAGTAACTTGAAACTAGAAATGCCTTTATTCGTGCAAGTCAATTTAACAATAACTCTCTCCTTTACACTTGGCTTATCCACACTAAACTGACCATTGATATTCATCCTTTCAAACGGACTGATACTATCATAGTCATTGCAGAAGATACTTCAGTTGATGGTTGTCTGTTTCATTATGGATGACAACACCAACGACGACTGATTGATATCAGTTGATGAAGTTAGCAGTGGATCAAAAGCTGTTGTTGCTCGACTTTCAGAAATTTGTCTTCCTGGAAGACCACAACCAATTCTGTTAATGTAGTTAAAGATAGAACGATCAATTCTTGGTTGTCAGGTGATCCACAACGGGAAACTCCGCGAGGCATCTGAAGTAAATGCAGGATTAAGTCAAGGCTGCTTATCTGCTATCACTGATGATATTCCCAATTGTGGTGGACTGGATTATGCATCAGACTGTGCAATGGAAGCGAGGATACAGGAATACTTTGGACCAATAGGAAAAATTTAGAAGTTTTGGATTTTGCGTATAACCTACGTCTAATGTTACACAAACTCGAAGCCTTACAAGAGAAAACCAACAAAATGGCTGAAGAAGCAGAAAAGACAGAACTCCACGTGGTGGTGAAGATACCCAACGAACAGCAGCAACAACCGGCACCATTCGTCATCAACGGGAGAAATTTGACATAGGTTACTTCCTTCACTATCCTAGGAAGAATCTTTTCAGCCACATACACACCGCACGGATGAAGACTGAAAAACCAGCCGGAATTCGAAAGGCGAAAAACGCCTTCATCAACTTGAAACCAGTTTGGGAATCTTATGCACTCCTCTTCAGCATAAACAACAAGACTCAGATTCTCGACACAAATGTCAAGTCAGTCAGTCAGTTCTTCTATACGGGTCAGAAACTTTCATTGCGTTTCACGAAAATCATTTCCAACAAGTTACAGACTTTTATCAACTGCTGCCGCTCTCGCCGACTGGTTCCATACAGAAGATCAAATGGCCGGCAAACCAGAAAGAATTAGCAACAAGAAATTCTGTCTGGTAACAAATCAACCATGAGCCAGTTGCTCAACAAATATCTAGGAGAAAAAGGAGGTGGATCGGGCATACATTGAGGAAACCGTCGAATGACATCACGCACAATACAGGCCATTGCTTGAGTGGAATTTCAAATAGAAAGTGACGAGTGAGTCGTCGGCACTAGGTGGCATGGATGAGATCGTGTGTTTGGGAGGAGGACATGAGAGATTATGGGCAATCATGTGGCTAGCCAGCTGAAGTGGACAGCAGAGAATAAGAGAAAGTGCATATATGTTGTTGAAGCCGTGTGTTCCACTCGGAACCCAAGGAAATAATTAATGTATAATAATATACATAGATTAAAATAAATAATTGTTTATCCCTTTACGGTCAAGGTAGAAATGGAGACTTTACATGCTTCTTTTTTACACAAAGCCTGGCTGGAATTCATGAACTTCCAAGGTTCCCACTTTCTTTAGAAGTTTAGAACGAAGCAAACGCGACAAGTTTACACGAATTCAATAAATCATCTTAACATTATGGTTGGGGTTGACAGACTGACAAAAGTCGAGCATTATTACTATTATTATTCGTATTTTGAACAATTTCCGGTATTATATTACTTCTCTCATATAATAATTAAAATCAATAAATTCTTTCCAATTTCAAATTCTATTTCAAGTATTGGTTTTGTAGGAATTTTGTTTGATTGTATGGAGGATTTCATCATGAGCTGATATCAGTTAGAGAACCACTGGAAAACCTGCAGGCAGTACTGGACAGTCAACTGTGTCGTCCTAGTTCAGGACTGTTCACCAGTACACACTCACACTGTCTAGTTTGAACCCAGGACCTCCTGGCTACAAGGCTAGTGAGTTCGTAGACCAGTGAGCCGCTGGGACCCGATCCAATGGTTCTTGAATTGTAACTTTTGCCAATTCATGACACAGCGCGACCATTTCGCAATGTCTTCTTCGATGAGTAGTGCATCGGTGAGGACGCTCGCCAACCATGCAGATGGTCCGGAGTTCTATTCCAGGCCGATGAGTGACTGCCTCATCTACGACCTTCTGTAGCGCACTGGTCACTGCTTCTCACTAGAACCACAGGTTAACTGTATGAATAGGGCCAGTCGCTAGTGAGCATCAGATTAATTTTCAAGTATTGATTTTGTTTGATTGTATGGAGGTACAGCAGGTCGAAGATGAGGCAGTCACTTATCGAAGAAGACATTGCGAAATGGTCGCGCTGTGTCATGAATTGGCAAAAGTTACAATTCAAGAACCATTGGATCGGGTCCCAGCGGCTCACTGGTCTACGAACTCACTAGCCTTGTAGCCAGGAGGTCCTGGGTTCAAACTAGACAGTGTGGGTGTGCACTGGTGAACAGTCCCGAACTAGGACGACACAGCTGAATGTCCAGTACTGCCTGCAGGTTTTCCAGTGGTTCTCTAACTGATATCAGCTCATGATGAAATCCTTCATACAATCAAATTTTATTTCATAAAAGTTCTCATGACTTTACGTGATTTTCTAATTGCCTACTAATCCTATAATTATATATCCCTTCCCAACATATATACAACCAATGAACCATTCTATGTATGATGTTATTTGTTTTTATACTTGATATTTAACTGGATTATAATTACAAACATCTTAATTGCATTTCATACTATTTTTTTAAATTTACGTATTCACACAGGATGTAGTTTCTTATAAACCACACCTATACGATTGTACAACTTGACGATAAATTCGCTGAAATCAGTCTCTTCTCTGAATATTTTGTTCTTAAATGTTACACAAGGAATTATTAAATTATTGAAGTTAAAATATCAGATGGGATCTTATATTGACTACGGGATAAGATATTGACGCTGTCAAGTCATTCACTTTTGTCAGCAGACAAATAAACTGATAGATGTTGGTTTGTAGGGATTTGATTGGTTTCAGGATTTCATCATGAGCTGACAATAGTTCGAGAACCATTGGAAAACCTGGGAGTACTGGACCATTGGATCGGGTCCCAGTGGCTTAATGGTATACGAGCTCGCCTTGTAACCGGAAGGTCCTGGGTTCGAATCCCGGTGGGTGGCATTGCTGAAGAGTCCCAAACTAGGACGAAACAGCTGTCCAGTACTCCCAGGTTTTCCAATGGTTCTCGAACTAATGTCAGCTCATGGTGAAATCCTGAAACAGATAGATGATTGCAGATGAGGAGGCTTGTAGAATTAGAGTTTACACACCCAGTCTCTATGTGCACAAGAATATAATGGTCACATTGAATCTACAGTGATAGTAACTTTTATTGATTAACTGTCATTATTATTACTATTACTAATATTTCATTTCATATATTATGATTATTATTGTCTCAAATGAAACGATCTTCTGTCAGTACTATCATCCTTACTCATTTTATTATCATTATTATTATTCCTGATAATTCTGATAACCAGTTGTTTATTAGAGTGATGTAGCTGAACCATAATCAATTATCATCTTAATTTTAATCTATCAAACTCCTTTCCCCTTATCTATTTGAACATCAGCTGAAAAAGCATTCACACCTGCTATTTTGCATGATCGATTTAAAGTAGTTTATTTACTTATCGATTTTCATGTATCGTAATGTAATTCTAATGGTATACAGATATATATACATATCACTGTTTGTAAAGTATTCAGCGGGAGAG